GAACTAGGCTCCTTTGTCAACTATAGGGCCTTAGGGGGAATCCTGAGTCCTACTCAGAACCTTCAGAGTTGGGACATTTGTATTTGAAAAGAAATGCAGACCAATCCAGAACTGCTGGGAAAACAGGAGATTCTTGATTGAAATAAAGATCTGCAGAAAAAAAATGGACTGTTCTCAAGAAAGCTGTTTGTCTTGGAGGCACCAAGGCCAGAAAAGTTCATGCCGATCAGAGAAAACCCCCTTCTAGGACTGAAAGTCAGGAAAACACAGCAATGAAGAGATGGATTCATTCTGGACAGATCCCGTTGGTGAGAGCAGATGGAGAAAAGAAAGGACTGGTGGGTCTGTGAAGTTTGGTGAGTTTTGTGAACTCTTGAACCCATAAGCACTAACTTAGCTCCTGGGGGCTAGGGCTGGGAGTGAAGAGACCAACTGATCTGAAGTATAGGGAAGTTTGTGTGAACTCCCAAACTTGCAACTGGTACTCATTTGACCTAGTTGGATGGCTGGGCTGAGTTGGCCAGAACCTAATTAGATGTAGAAAAAGATGTTTGATACTGTGAGCAAGTGTAAATTGCTATAATTTGGTGGACTGAGCTTTGCTTTTGGATGCAGTTGCTCAAAGTTCCAACCAGATGGAAGATTCTTCAAATCAAGGGACATGCTTTTCTCCTTAGAGTACTGGTTTGATTGTTGCTAAGTACCATCAAGTTGGTTCTGATTTATAATGACCTAGTATAGGGTTTCCTAGTAGTTGCTGGTGAGTTTGAACTGCCAACCTTGCAGTTCAAACCAACCTTGAGGTTGTGTGTTTATCCTATGGTGCCACACTAGGACACCACTGGGTTGATAGGGATGGGCTCTTTAAAAACTGGTTCACCACTTGCTGGCTCCAATGATGGGACGAACAGAGCTCAACCCAAAGAAGATAGAAGAGGAAAAAAGCATCATCTGATACAATTTGATAAATTGGACATCCACCTATAAATGCAGCAGTCCAAAAGAGGAAATAAATCCCTCATCCAAGAATTATTCCCACCCCCTCCACACAAAGAGTAGATAGGGATGGCCATCTTGAACATTGACCAACCAAAATGGGAGAAGAGATACAATGGCAAGAAGTGACTGGCTTACAAGCTTTCAAGAGGGAACCTAGATCGACAGAGCGGGGAGGATGGTAGAGTGTCCAGTGAGTAGTATCCGACCTGTCTAGGAAGGGCAGATGAAAAGAAATGCAGATGGGTCCCTTGGGAAGCAAGGGTGAATAACTGTTACCAGGACTGAGTGTGAAGACTGGAAATGTAAAGGTGGACATTTTATAGCAAGGAGGGGAGTGATTAACCTTTCAGTCTAGGAGTGGAGGGCCCTGGGACCATCAATGGAGAAGAACGGAGAGCGGGACCCCATCCAGAGGAGCAGTGAGGCTGGAGACTGAGACAGAGAGGATGACATGAAGAGAGAGGATGATGTGAAGAGATGGAGTGGCTGGGGTCTAGGGATCCAGCGAGGGAGAGAGGCTGTGTGCTGAGGACCGTGAGGGGAGGGCGGGCAGGATTGCAGGGTGTACCCTTTGGTTGGGTGATGATGCATGGATGGGATGGTAGCTATGGCAATGAGACGATGTATGATGGAATGAATGTAAAACTAATGTGCCCCCATGTAGACTATCACACAATACACAATAAAACATTAAAAAAAAAAAAAAAAAACTGGTTCAAACCCACCAACTGCTCCTTGTATACCTTATACAGGGTCACTATGACTAGGAACGGATCTGACTGCACTTGTCAACGGCATTGAACAATGCAGGCATGATCTAAAGAAGGTGGGAATACACAGAAACAAGTATCAAAAAAATTCGGCCAATATTCAACCATTTTAGGAGGTTGACAAAATATTCATTAGAAATATAATAGGTAAAACTGCCACCATCATTTTATGAGGACATTCCTCGATATTAGTTGCCATCATTAATTTACTTTTTTTTTTTTTTTTGCCATTTTGATGAATGAAAATGACTTTTCTATATTATCTTTATTCTCTATTTCTTGACTTTAACATTAACATCAATCTTTTGTGAAACTCTTGTAATTTTCTTAGGTCAAAACTTAATTTCATCTGCCATAAAACTAATGCAATAAAAATAGAAACTTATGACCTATATGATAAAACATCTCCTCTTTGATATGGTGCTGCTTTTCTCTCACAATCAGTATACAAGTGTTTAATAGCTCTGTAGCTAGTACCGCTCTGGTAGCGTAGTGGTTACGAATCGGGCTGCGAGCCTTAAGACCAACAGTTCGAAACTACCAGCGGCTCCGCGGGAGAAAGATGGGGCGTTCTGCTCCGGTAAAGATTTACAGCCTCGGAAACCCTGTACAGGGTCGCTATGGGTCGGAACCGACTCGACGGCACTAACAACAACAACAACAGCTAGTACCATATTCCTTGCTAAATCAAGAGGCTCACTTCAATAGTATGATTATTATAATGTGATAAATGAAATAATGTAGGTATGAGTAAAGCATGGTTGAACACAGAGGAACAAGCAACAAACACTGTATGGGTCCTGAAAGAAAAGCAGGAGTTTTCAAGTCCTGTATATGGGTGTGAAGATGAAGGAAAGCAACAATTTCAGGGAGAAAGAATAACATGTATTCTAGAAGGGTGAGGAAGAATGTAAGGAGAGATTCCGTGTTCCTAGTGTTGCGTATTGAGAGAGCAGTTTACAGAGGCAAATTTAGGATAGATTTTAAAAGACCTTGTGTGGGTTAAGTATTGGGCTGTTAACCACAATGAAGGCAGTTCACACCTACCAGACTCTGTGTGTGGGAGAAGTCTGAGGCTGTCTGCCCCTGTAAAGATTTAGTCTCAGAAACTCTATAAAAGGTTGCTATTAGATGGAATTTACACAATGGTAATGGATTTAATTTCTCTCTCTCTCTCTCTCTCTCTGTATTAAATAAGTTTGGATTTTATCATTTAGACAATAGGACCAAATTGTAGATCTATTTTTTTTTAGAAGTCATGGTTGGCAGCATGGGGTATAGACTGGAGCCCACAGATGGCTGGAAAACCAGAAAATAAGGGGGGAAACAAAAAGCTTTAATTTTGAGTTTAAGTTGTAGCAATTTAGAAAGATGAGACTGTTCTGACAGAACTTCTGATATTTGTTTTGTGTTTGGAATTTAATGGCAGCTGAGTAAGGTACACACACAGAGAAATAACTCATATTAAGACAATGAATAGACACGGAGTTGACATGTGTCTTGCTTGCCAGATTTAGAAGTTGGTACATCAGTCATAATCCTATGATTTACATGGGAATTTATACCGATAGGAATTATTGTGTCTATAAGAAGCTACCAAATGTTATAATAGCCTGTCACCAGGTTGGTGTGCCATCAAGTCAGTTCTGAATCATTGCAACACTGTACAGGGTTTCTAAGGCTGTTTTAAATCTTTGTGGGGGCAGAAAGCCTCATCTTTCTCCTTCAGAGCAGCTGCTGGGCTTGAACCACAATCCTGTGGTTCTCAGTCCAGTGCTTATCATATGGAACCACAGTGCACCCCATCACCAGGTTAAGAGGAGTAAATTATTCAGGTCTCTGTTTAAATATCTTTTTATCAGAAAACTCACTGATTTATATACTCAGAATATCAACCCTGTCTCAGTCTATTTCCTCCTGTCACATTATAACACTTCTTCATAACACCCAGCACCTGCCATATATCCATTTTATTTGGTTGTTTTCTCTTTTCCTGCATCAGAAAGTAGACTTCAACATTTTTCTCCATTGCATTCCCATATTCTAGAACATTTCAATGAGTAATATTTGTAGAATATCCAATGAGCATTTGCCATGCAGTGACTATGTTTATTTTACAGAAGTTCAGCAATGAAGAAGCTTCCAAGTTTCCTAATCTTGATTCAGTGAATGGTAATTTATTATGTGCCTGAAATTGTATGCTATCCTGAGTTTCTAATATTCCTTTCTTCCTTTTTTCAGCTCCAAACATTCGTTTCTGTTGCACATCTCATCACAGTTGAACAACACCGTACATTCTAAGTTCATTAGCTCAAAACCTTGGAGTTAATTTTCCTTCCACTATTATATTTATATTGAATCATTGAGTTTTATAATTTTTGACACTATTTCTCCTGTACTGACACTTCTCCAGTGTGCAGACCATCATTTGAAGACTTCGTGGTCTCTTTCTAGTTAATCTCCCCTGTGGTTATCCATCTGTCTACTGACAAAAAACGTTTATTGTTTTTTCATCACATTTGTTGTCTAGGAGAACAAGTTGAACTGTTTACTCTAAAATTCTAGACTGTTCATCAACTGACTCTCTGTGCCTACTAAAACTATCTTGGTATTTTCCCAATATTATTTCTCATAATCACTTCACTCCCAAACTTTTGAAGATTTATTTATTTTCTCTCTATAAAAAAGCACAGGGTAGTATCTGACTTCATGTTTTTAAGCATACAGCCATATTTAATAACATAGAAATTATACTTCTATATGCATTCTTAATTACTATCTGCCTAATTAAAAGACCACCTTTGGATGAAAACTTATTTTTCATTCATTTACATGAACTTCAGAAACCTTTTTAGCACATTTCCTCTCACTTGTGAAAGTATTAAATGTCATGTTTCACATAGAATTTATCACAAGTTTGACCCTGGGTACGAATGGGGAGAAGGGGGCATTCTAAAAAAAGTACAGAAAATAAATATGCAAAAAAGATAATTATTATAAAATGTAACAAGTGCAATGGTACAGGTATCAAAGCATAATTTAACACACTAATACACCTTTACTAGGTAATGCCTTGAAATAATACTAAATGTGAAATAAATTGAAGCAGCTCTTTTGCTTCATATACTACATTTTAAACTATGAGCATAGTAGCTATAATATAAACTAAAAATTTTAAATAAAAATAGATTCAGTTGGTTACAAAACAATTCAATCATAGAAACCACTTACCTAATAAATGTAGAAATAAGCAAATGTAGACCAGTTTGTTCCTTCCTAGACAGATATCAGCAAGCCACCCTACAAACACAGGGGCAAGAAGTGAAGTTCCAATAAAACATAAATTCAAAATGGCTGCCTGGTAGTTGCGATAACCAAGCTTGATGGTGCAAAAGGGAATCATATTGCAGACGACTTCAAAGAAAGTGAATCTGTCACACAGTTCCACCAGAAGCAAACAAATGCCAATCTGTATTTTTTTCATGGAATATGCTGAAGAAAAATAACTATCATCTCTTATAGTTTTCTCCTTCTCAATGCCCTGATTTAAGTGTAACTTCTCATAATTTACTTTAATGCCTGTAACAGACATGACTACTTTCCTTGAGTACAATTATGTTAGTGGCTTTAACTTGGTCATTTTTTTAACCTCACTCCTCTAATGAAAAAAATAAATAAGATCTTTGCTTTGAATTTCACAACTCTATGCTAAAATTTTATAAGGCTTTTTGCACATTAATGTTGTTCATTTTGAAGATCCAGTAGCACAGGGAAGAAGACAAAAATATTTAAATGTTCACGGTAGTCCAGAGTAGCCAAATCTGATTTGTTTGTTTAATTACTTAGAAGCTAAATTAGGCTTTTCCTCCAAAATTTTATTGAATTACATGAATTCAGTTGCATATGTGTGGAAACTCATCTGCTTGCACTGATAAAGGTTTAAACACCATAGCAAAATAAGCAGTTTTTCAGAAGAATCTGAGCACTAGAACAAGAAATAATTTGAGTCTAATAATTTTTGATACTTTAATTAAACAAGCCAGAACAGTACCAAGAGATAAAACATGAAAGAAAATCTGTTTTTGAGGGGGCAGGATACCTTATCATTATTACAGTTCTTATTATTTTTGGTTGGAATTCTGATAAGAAAGTTAATTAGGTTAAAAAAAAGTGCTAGTACATTTAGGTAACAAGCAGAGTTTACAGGAAAGTAATTTAAGTGCACTAACGAAAGGAGAAAATATTAAACAAAAACCTTCTTCCTTTAAGTTGACCCCATACTTGTAGAACAGTCTCTCAGAGGAAATTAGAATCAAAAGACGTTATTTGACTCACTTATTATTAGTTACAGCAACCAGCCTACACAGGCTTTGGGGAATATTGGATCTGGTATCACCCCGACCCTCCAGCTGAGTTGAATGCATGGTGGCATTCTATTTTAGCAAGTGGTAGGGCACCAATTAAGCTAAAATACAGCAGCAAAAGAAAATACTTTAACATTTTGGGCTTTAGCTGCAAGGACAAGGAACTGAAGCTATTAGGTCAAAGTCATGATCATTCAATCATAGGGACTGAATATTCTCATGTTGGAGTCAAAAGCAAAAGAAACTTAAAAAGACTTTTGACTGCAATTCTTATCTTTCCACCTAGAATATTGGGAACAAATGTTTTTAATTCCCAATATTTTCAATGTAATGGTAGCTATTTGCATCTGTTCAGTATCACTTCCTCTTTCCTTAGTAACAGTGCCTTATTTATCTCTTATATAAAGTTATCATATAATTTATTAACCAAAGTTGAACACTTTTAGCACTGAAAGTTGTGTGGTTTATAGGATATTCTTGGGCAGCAGGTATAAACTTGAGACTGTCTAGAACAAACTCCAACATGTGGGGTTTTAGTCTCACTATTAAATGAGATTCCTGTTAGAGCTAATAATTAGATCGAGTTAATAGTTTTCATATGCATGTGAAAACTGGACAATGAATAAGGAAGACCTTAGAAAAATCAAATTATGTTGTTGGCAAAGAATATTGAAAGTACCATGAATTGTAGAAACAAATAAATCTGTGTTGGAAGAAGTAGAGTGAGTGCTCCTTAGAAGCCATGTTGGCAAGATTTCATCTGTCATTCTTTGGATATGTCAGGAAGGATTAGGCCCTGGAAAAGGAAATGATGTTTAGTAAACTGGAAGGTCAACAACAGAGGGAAATACCCCAGACAACAGTTATTGACACAGTGGCAGTGACAATGGGTTCAAACATAACAAGAATTGTGAGGATAGATAGATATAAGTTGGAACTGACTAATGGCACCTAACAACACCACCAACAAATTAATCATGGTATCCCTTTTCCTTTGACTGAGAGGTCAACATGTGATCAAGATGGTCCCTTCACTTTTTCTTTCCAGAATTTTTTTTATTATCACTGGGATGACTCAAGAATGGATATGGTAGAAGTTGGTCATTCAGATTGTTGTTACTGTTAGTTGCCGTGACGTCAGCTCTGACTCATGGTGATCTCATTTACAACATGGCAAAATATTGCCCAGTGCCACTCCATTTTCATCATTGCTGTGCTCATACCCATTGTTATGGCCACTGTGGTTTTTGAGTGTCTTCCAAACTAGGAACTCATTTTTCCAGCACTGTATTGGACAGTATTCTGTTGTGATCCATATTTTCAGAAGTAAATTTCCTAGCCTTTCTTTCAAGTCATTTAGAAGATTGTGACTAAAAAGAACTGCTCAAAAACCCTATACAGGGTCACTATGAGTTGGAAACAACTCAACAGCATACCACCACCACCACCACCATCAATCGTGTAGTATAAGCACTTGATTGCTCACTGCAAGGTCAGTGATTCAAACCTATCAGCTTCTCTTTGGAAACCCTATACAGGGTTGCTATGAAGTGGAAATGACTAGGCAGAACATTAAAAAATAGCCATCGAGGAACAAAATCAAGAACTACTCCTGAAACGTTCAGTTTCTTCTTTCTTCTATTTTTAGATATTTTTCCAATTGTATACAATGTACATGCATTGTTTTTATAGTGAAAAAAATATCATTTCATTGCAAAGAGAGAAAGAGAGGAGTGCTGGGCGAGGAGTTCTATTGAACTAAAGGACAAAGGGAAGTCAAAAGGACTTCCAGTTCAGACACACATGGGTTTATTCCAAACAAAGTATGTTTACCCAAGTCTCTGTAATCAGCTGATGACTACAGACCTTTGTGTTCTTTTTCAATGATTTTGGAGTTTGGGGAACAAAAAGAAGTCTGAAGTGGTAAGATCAGATGTGTAGGGTAGATGGGGTAAGATTTCCTAATGCAATTCTTGTAGCATCACCCTTTCTACCCCAAAGAATGAGCTGGTAGTTGCATTGTCTTGATGGGGGAAAAAAATCCTTGGTATAACTTTCCTAGGCTTTTTATCACCAATACAGTATTTTATTTTCTTAAAATATCTTCATAATAAGTCCCCATGATTGGTCTTTGTCCTCTGAGAAAACTGACCCCTATTGATGACCACTGGATGGCTAAATACAGGCCATTGGTTCAAAACCACCAGATGCTCCTTGGATATCCTATACAGAGTCGCTATGAGTTGGAACTGACTCAACAGCACTTAACAACAATGGCAAGGGACAAAATATTGAATAATGCAGAAAGCTCCAAAGGAGCTGGAAAGAACACACAGAGTCACTATACCAAGAAGAAATAGTCGATAGGCAACCATTTCAAGAGATAACATATGATCAAGAACCAATGGTACTGAAGGAGGAAGTCCAATACATTGAAAGCACTGGTGAAAAATAAGCCTCCAGAAATTGACTGAAAACAAGTTGGAATCTTTCAACAAACGGATGCAGCACTGGAAGTGCTCACTCATCATTTCCAAGGAATTTGGAAGACAGCAACCTGGCCAACTGATTGGAAGAGATTCATATTTGTGCCCATTCCAAAGATAGGTTACCCAAAGGAATGCAGAAATCATTGAGCAATATTATTAATATCACATGCAAGAAAAATTTAGCTGAAAATAATGAAAAATGGTTAGAATTGTACATGGGCAAAGAACTGCTAGAAATTCAAGCCAGATTCAAAAGAGGAGGTAGAACTAGGACATATATCATTACTGATGTCAAATGGATCTTGACTAAAAGCAGAGAATACCAGAGAGATGTTTACTTGTCATTTATTGATTATGCACAGGCTTTTCGCAGTGTAGATCATGACAAATCATGGATAATAGTAAGAAGAATTGGTATACCAGAACATTTAATTGGACTTATGTAGAACCTGGACATAGAACAAGAAGCAGTCATTAGAACAGAACAAGGATTACTGAAAAATTTAAAATCAGGAAGGGTATGTGTCAGTATGTATGCTGAGCAAATAATCTAAGAAGTTGGATTATATGAAGAAGAATCTGGCATCAGGATTGAAGGAAAATTTATTAACAACCTGTGCTATGCAGATGATACAATCTTGCTTGCTGAAAATGAAGAGGACATAAATACTTACAGATGAAGACCAAAGACCACAGCCTTCATTATGGATTGTACCTCAGTGAAAAGAAAACAGAAATCCTCACCACTGGAGGAATAAATAGCATCATGATAAATGGAGAAAAGACTGAAGTTGTCAAAGGCTTAATTTTGCTTGGATCCACAATCAACATTCATGGAAGCAGCAGCCAAGAAATCAAATGACATGCATTAAACCTGCTCCATAAGATCTCTTTAAAGTGTTAAAGAGCAAAGATGTTAGGTGGAGGATTAAGGTGCAATTTACAGAAGGCATGGTATTTTCAATGGCCTCATATGTATATGAAAGTTGGACAGTAAATAAGGAAGACCATACAATTGATGACAGACAAGTGGTGGACAGTGAATAAGGAAGACAGTAGAAGAATCAATACATTTGAGTTATGGTGTAGCAGGAGAATATTGAAAGTGCCATGGGCTGCCAAAAGAACCAACAGATCTGTGTTAGAAGTGCAGCTAGAATGCTCCTTGGAGGCCAGGATGTCCAAACTTCATCTCTCATACTTCGCACATATTGTCAGGAGGGACCAGTTGCTGGAGAAGGATATCTTGTTTGGTAAGATGGAGGGTCAAAGAAAAAGAGGAAGACCCTCAGCGACATGGATTGGCAAAGTGGCAACATCGATGGGCTCAAGCGTGGCAACGACTGTGAGGTTGGCCCAGGATCGGGCTATGTTTCATTCTGTTGTGCATAGGGTCTCTATGAGTTGGTACTGACTCGATGGCACCTAATAATAACAACAACATACAATTGATGTATTTGAGTTATGGTACTGGAGAAGAGTATTGATAGTACCGTGGTCAGTCAGAAGAAAAAACAAAATCTGTGTTGAAAGTAGTTCAGCCAGAGTGCTCCTTACAAACCAGGATGGTGAGACTTTGTCTCTCTTACTTTGGACATGTTGTCAGGAGGGACCTGTCCCTGGAGAAGGACATCATGCTTGGTGAAGTGAAGGTTCAGTGAAAAAGAGGAAGATCTCAAATGAGATGGATTGACACAGTGGCAACCACAATGGGATCAAGGGTAGCAATGATGGCGAGT